GTGACATTCTATAATCGGGAAACTTTCTGTCAGTCAGGGTTGCAGTGTTTTCTACAGGCACCATTTATTAGAGCCCTCGAATGTTATCAAGCCCTCAGCACTCAAAACTACTCCACACGCCTTTACAGCGCGATGCCTGAAATATTTGCTTGCGCTTTGTTTTGCTAGGACCAGCGTTAAGTTATTCAGGTCGTGCTACCCATACCCTGTCGTTAACCATTTCCGGATGGAGACTGTCGGGCCTCTCCAGGTCCGTCTGGCTTTTAGTAACGCAACTTAGGATTGGGTTTCGGAGAAATGACGTCGTTTATGCACTCCCTTGGGGTATTCGAAGTGCATAACCTAACTACTGTGCATACCAGTCCCTTTTTATAATACCAACACGTGTCTTTGATAGGTGGGAAGCTCCGTGTTTTAAGTGTGGTTCCTCAACCTAGACCGAAGGCATAAGCTGCTGCCTTGGAGCAGAGCAGTCTCTGTTTTCTGTTGAGACTCGCGTGACAGCAGACTCTTAATTGATTACAAAACATTTTATGCGATCTCGGTCATATCATAGCTTCTTCTGGTGACCAGAAAATGCTGCATGCAAGCTTTTGACGGTACGTTTAGACCCCGAACCAAGCAGTGTTTTAAATAGAATCAACATCCTTGTCCAGCGTAGACGTCTTCAGCATCTCAGAGTGCCTCCGCGTTAAGAAGGTTAAGTTAGAAGACAACTTTGTTCGTTCTATCCACGAACCGTGCGGGCAGTTCAGTAAAGCTTTTTGTTATGATCGGTGATTTCGGACCCGTCCCATTAGTTTTCACTACTTCCGAGGGGACACCTGCGAAATAGATGAAATACTGTAAGTGAATAATTTACTCAGCTTTTGCTGAAAAGCGTAATGACTCGTTGTTTTTCATCCGTTCCATCCCGAACATGTGGAAACAGCTGGGATGGATACTTCAAAGGATCTTTGCGACTTTACTTATCAAACGGGTGCCGCCTAGTTTGGAACTTTTTACATTCGAAGGCTGAGCTGCTGGGCAGACTGCATGCGCCACATTTTAGAAGTCATACCAACGGATGTGCTTGACTATCATCCACGTGGGGCCGTGCACACAGTCGCGGATGTAACTACGGGGATAGCTACAAACGTCAAACAAACTCACAGTGGGAGCAGCGAGTAATGCACAAGTTATGGTCCACCAGTTGCATTCTATGGTCCTCGGCAAATGCATTGTCTGCATTTTTTGTGGTTATTTACTAGTCTGCTCTTTAATTCTTCTGCCTCATATTTTACCTGTCGACTATTTTTACGTGAGAATCGAATTTTTAACCACCTTTAGATATTAATTCTTTCGCTTTCGGGTATAAGAGATTAACACGATATATTCTCGCATATTATGATTATCTTCTATGTCAAACTTGAACATTGAGACACTTACACCACTTTTGTTTCAGGTTATGGTTTTCATGTCCTCCTGCATGGAGGTGAAGTTCTACTACGAACTTCTCAATTTCATCGATCTTCCAGTTCAAGCCATCCATGGACGTCAAAAGCAGGCGAAACGCACTAGTACATTCTTGAATTTCATAAAGGCCACCACCACCATTCTGCTCTGCACCGACGTTGGAGCTAGAGGTCTTGACATTCCGGAGGTGAGTTCAATGTCCAAGCAGCTTCTACTGGAAAATTCCTGTAAACCCCTACTGCACAGTGTGGCATTTTGACAGGGCAGATGATTTACAGTTGCACTATTTGGTCAGCAGTTTTGTCCTAAGCGCAGCACATGCGTTCGACCAGTACTGCAATGCACGGTTTAAGAGGTCTGTTTCCTAGGGTATACAGGAGTCCGTTGTTTTAGATCACAGGTGTTTCAGCAGCATTCCTCAAGTAGCGGTACCGAGTTTTGTAGAATAATACTTAACTGGCGGCTTCCTACATTGTCAATTAGCATTCAAGTAGTTTCCACTAACAACCATGGTTAGCTTTAGTTTGCAGATTCGGATCCGGTCTGAAGAAAAGAAGGCCATACGTGGTGCGCAATTGCAATCAGTCGTTATCGTTCCCATTACTAGCAATTTTCTCTAAGCTGCCTTTATTTTTGATTGCTTGGCCGCCGGTGGAATGTCGGTTTACATCCTAGAGTTTCAGAAACAGGTACTCAACTGATGGTGTTTGTCTAGATTTTTTTACTTGTCGTGGGATAGAGACTACTAATTTTGCGCGACCCTGTCCTTCTATATAGTTGAACGGCTTGCATTTCAACCCTATATAAATTGATACCACACCCAGGCCCAGTTAATAATCATTCTTTGCCACCCATTCTAAAGTAGATCCTGGTGACACTCATTTTTGCCTTCAGTGGTCAACGGACTACTACGAAAGTGATATATTGTTAGCGCAAGTTCGGCTTTTTCACTGGGCTTACTGTTATAGCAGTGCTGTTGCCCCTCGGACCACAAATAATTAATCTGGTCAGAAAGGAGGCACA